GTCTGATTTCTCATGATTTTGCTGGGAGGTCTCTGACTGCTGTTAGAGTTTTATATCTAAAAGCAAGGTTTAGTCTGTGCTTTCGATCAGAATACACCACCACAGTAAATCTGCCTTCTGGGCCCTTGTGTCAACAGAGATGCCGCGGGCACGTGGCACAGCAGCGATAGGCTGTAAACGTGCTCTTAAAGTTGCTCCAAGTGGCTTTGTGCCAGATCAGGTGTCAGCTGTCCTTTAACAGCTGGTAGAAGGGCAGGATGAGACTCCTACCATGTGTATTGGCTAATTTGATAGAAATATGATTATCTGGCCATTCTGGCAACAGATCAAGTTTGCACTGTGCATGATCCAGAAGAGCACAAATCTGGAGATAACTGTGGCTCTGAGCTTCCCTCATTCAAAATGTAAGCTGGCTTCTGAAATTAGGTAATTGCTAACAAAGAATAGATAATGGCTAACAGGTTGACAAAAGTTCTTTGCCCTCTCCACTTTCTCTCAGTAGATGAGGTGTTGTAATTTTGTTAATAACCTACTTACAGGCAGGACACTGATTCCTGTTCCTCTTCCAAAATCTAGTTATTCCACACAAGTATCCTTTCCCCTGCAAAAAACAGCCCATCAGCCCACACAGGCCCCTGGCAGCCTTCCAGCAGCCCAATGTGACCTAACATCACAACTTTATTTCCTTCCCCTTCCTGGGGAGCAAAACCCCAACTCTTCTCTCCTTTAGCCTCAGCTACAGCGAGCATGCCCAACACATTACAGCTGCACTATAAAAACACCTGTGGTGGGTACCATTATTGATTTATGAAGTTGCTGGATGCTGCTGGTGGATGGCAGTGACTGACCCTAATGCTGGTTTTAGTTTTGATGTATAACAGCCAGCTCTGCTCTACTTTAGTGGCTTGGCCACTTGGCTGTGCTCTTAGTCCCATGGCAGCAAGGAGACATGGATCTCAGGGGGTGAAGGCCAAGCTAAGGGCACCTTCCTGCTCTCCTTGCATACTAGCAATGAGTGAAGTTTCTGTCTGAGGACACGTGAAGTATTGGTAGCTATGTGGCTAGTAACTGCCCTTGTTTTCAGTGCCTCAGCCCTGCAAGTTGGAGAACAAAGCAAGGGAAAAGAGATGATATTGAGCAGCAGAGGCTGCTTTTCAGGCCTTTACAGTGTGTCCTATACTGTACAGAGTTGTTGCCAGTCCACGCTGAAGGTTAACTGACCTTTCAGTGCAGCAGACTGTGTTTGTTTAGAAGTGCTGTAGAGTCCCCTGGGTTCCCTAAGCCTGCACAGTTAAGCCAGCTAGCAGTGATACAGCCAAGAGGTTACACAGTACCAGAGAAGAAAGTGTATTAGTTATCTACCAGTGCTTAGGTTAGATGTTTCTTAAGGCCCAGCTAGGCTCCTGTTAGACACCACCTGATGCCTGGCTTGTAATGAATTTCCTATTGGCATCCATGTGCTTCTCCTTAAACTGCAGTCAGTAATCAGTGAGGTCCGAGCTGCACTCAGAAGTCTTTGCCTAGAAAATTACCTCTGGAAAGGAGACTCAGACCTTGAGTGCACCTCTTGAAGAAGCAAGATGAGAAGGAATCCAAGGTAAGAGTTGCTACTGTTTATGTCTTGTATGTGATACGTCAACACTTTGGCTGAAGTATGTCAGGGTTATTCATAATAGCGTTCAAGTCACGATCCTCATGGAGGTGGCAAACGCTTCAAATCTTGAACAGCAACTGTACTGCTGCTATTGCTGACTTCACAGCTGTAATGGTGTTTTCTTGCTTTTAGCTTACTAGTAAAACATGCTAGAAGTTAGCTGTCTGTAGGAGTGGACCTGTGAGCTTGGCAGTTCTGTCATTTATGTTAAGTACTGACTGTGTTAGCTGTTCTAGAGCTGGGTTGCCTGGATCTCTCTATTTCTAGTCTGATGCTACTTTGACCGAGTTTTACTACTGGCTTGTGGACTCTTAATGCCATATGCAGCAGCTGAAATCTGTTCTGTGCAGAGATGGGCCTCACACTGCTGCTGTGGACATTTCCGAATTACATATGATGGTTGTTGTTTAAATGCTATTTTTAAACAGGTTTTCCTGTTCTCCTCCTTAATTAGTTATAAGAACATGATAAAGAGAATAACATACATATCTGAATGCTAGATTGCCCACTTCCAACCTTTGAATTCTTCTTGTGGTTAAAGGAATAATGGAACAGATTACCACTATATGTTTTCATAGCAATCTCATGGCCATGTTTCTCGAATCCAAAATCCATCTAGAAGAGCAGCAGGTGTCAACCTCAGTCCCTTTCTATTCTATTGTGGTTTGTAAGGGAAATGACTTCCAATCTTCCTTGCTGCTCATATTTAATGGATAGATGATGCCTGTTTCTTATGGCCTAGTCAAAATTTTGAGAGTTAACAGTTACAGGTCTGAAATTGTTCAGTGTGTAATACTTGTTGCCTGTTGTGCAAATGGAAATCATGCAGTGCTAAGCCAAAACCAGATCAGTAACTTTATTATAACTTCTCTTAAATTAGGGTATATATACATAATAGCCATAGGCTGTAGGAAGGTAATTAGGTTCCCCCCCTTGCAGAGCAGCGGGTAAAAGCACATTCTTGCTCTCTGGGAACAGCTTCTTGTGTGTGAACCCACCCAGAGCCAGAGCATTAGCAGTGTCAGTAGAGAGGTAGTCTGCTTGTTGTGAACGTGCTATGAAATAGGGGTGGACAAACACACAACTTTGTTTGCCACTCTTGTTTTGTCCCTCCGTGTTTTGGCACCTCCTTGTCAAAAAAATGGTAGTCAAAATGAAAGTGGAGGCCTATCAGAAGTGTTTGTTCATAAAGAATTTCAACCAAAAATATGGGAGTTTAGTTTAAGAATACCTCCCACTGGAAAGGGCCCATTTCAGTTTCCCACCTTACCTGAAAATTAAATGATTACTGGCATGGTCAGGTTTGTTTCCCAAGTGTTACCAAACTAGAGAGGAAACATTGTTATGAAGGCAGTAACCTACATTTGACCTTCCTGCTTTTCCTACTGGTGGGGTGGATGACACCTAAAATATGGGTGTACTCAGAGGGTGTGGGTATTTCTTGATATCTCTTTCTATTTCTGACAAGTGCTGCCACACTGATAGGGCAAACTGCCTAGATACGGCTTGGTAACTACTTATCAGACAGATTCTTCAGTGTAAAGCAGAGGAATCATGAGAAAACATTGCTGCTGCTTTTTCATTTCCTGAACAGTCTGGAGTTAGCATGTGGGACCCAAATGCTAAGACACTGGGTAGCTTTTGAAAGAACTATAGCCTCTTGCACTTACTGCAGTATGCACTTGACAGGAGGAGAGGTGTAAAGGAAGCCAGTTTCCTGAGTTGGACAGCAAAAACATGAAATTATTTGATGGGGTAGAAACAGCAGTCACCATTCCACTAGCTGTCCGTCAGTGATGTAGACCATGGGGTACATGTAAGCAAAGATGATCTGTAACAGGATTTCAGGGTAACCAGGACTGGGTACTGCAGTGTCTTGTGTGAGGCTGTCCGGGCCCCAGAGAAGCCAGGGGTTTTAGCAAAATCTGTGTGTCACACATAATTAGAGGAGATAGATCTCAATGGTTTATTTTTTTCTCTTTAATTAAGATAATCTGCAAAATATCTGCCTACATTTCTTTAAGTATTTGTTGGTTTATTTCAGTTCTCTTTGTGGAAGACCAAGTTCAAGAAGCAAATATATTAAATCTCTCATACTTTAGGTTTCCTCTCATGTTGTACATAGCAAGCGATGTAGCTGTCTCTGACAGCTGCCATTTACAGTGCAGTGGCCTAGTTGAAGGCTATTGTGAACCATCTTTCTATCACTGTTCAATTCAGATGTGGTCACGGAAACCTGTCGTTAACCTCTTCAGCCTGAACAAGCACTACTGTGCCTATAACCTAGTGCTTTAAATGCCTTTCAAGTTCCTGCAATTCCTCTGAGCCTGTACGAATGTGAGGCACCAAGAGCCCTTCAGCACTGATGCAGATGTGCTGCATAATAACTTGGGGAAATGTGGGAAGGACAAGTGTGCCTGTTCAAAGGATTGCAGGGAACTAAAGAAAAATGGTCTGCAGCAACTTTTATTCTGTTCTTGAAGCAAGAAATTAGAATAAGGTACTGCAAGTGCCTCTTACCTTCATTCTGTTTCATTGAAGGAATGATGGCATTGACCATTATGTCTTTTGCTCTTTGTCCTTCCTTCTCTGTCTTAGCTAAGAGTTCCTCCCTGCTCTGTGCCTTTTGGGTAGCAATTTGACTCATTTTCATTGACTTGGTTCAGTTTTAAGACCTGAAACCTTTGCAGACTATTTCATTCTGCCCCTAGAAATAGTGTGCTCTGCTTCAGATTAAATCACTGATTATTTTTTTTAGCCATCTTGAAACACTGAAAAGGGAGGAGTGGCAGAAACTACCTATCCATGCCTTGGTAAGTACAGTGGCAGGTGGAAATGTTCTTAAATACTAAAATAGAAAGACTGACAGAGCTGAAATCTGTGAAATACAGTGAACCTGCACAGTGTGACTTCTCTGAAGAGGGTTTGTTGAAGAACAAGCACGTTAATAGTGCCTGGAAATGAGCCAGCACGTGTTTGTGCCAGCAGTCCCAGAGGTGCAGAGCCTGTAGATGGCAGTTAGAGACAGAAAAGCCTGTAGGCTGAGGAGAGGAGCAGCCAGGTGGATGGAGGAGTTGAAAGGAGAATGCACTGATGACAGGGGTATGCAGATTGTATGAGGAGGTAATTGGCACTTCACTGGTGCGCAGAGCAGAGGCATCAGGGCAGTACAGCACTGCTGGAGACTTGGCTTATTTGTTCCTTTTGTTCTTTTTAAACACGAAAAATCCCAGGGAGGTGTCAGGGAAACCATCCAGCCAAGGCAAAAGCAAGCCTTAGGCTCATCATCTGTCCTTATTTTGCTGCCCCTGGATTCAGTGTGAAGCAGAGCCATGGATAGCGTGGATTTCACTGTATTAAGAGATGGCCATGATGGGGAGTGCCTTATGTGTCTCAGTCCTTCAGGTGCTCCTCTCTAGCTGCATTCATGGTTTTTCATATTTTCATTAGCAATGCTGATAAAGAACAGTGGAGGTTTCCCCACCTTTCTCCGGGGTTACCCACATGCTGTAAGGGGAACTTGAAAAGAGGCTGTTAAAATAAATTTAAGAGAGTTTCTTATTTGCTTTGTACAGCTAAGACCCTGTGACATCAAAGCTATCTGCTTTCTGAGTGTGCTTTCCACCCACTGTCAAAAAAGCTCACATAGCCTGTGCAGTAGGAGGAGATCCATGGCAGAGAACATGACTGCTGTGACTGTGAAGGTGGCTCACAGGCTGGCTGGAGGCGATCCTCCATCCTGGAGAAACAGCACTTCATTCCTTGATCTTTCTTCTTTAGAGCAGTTAAATTCCGGGTAGGATTTTCCTCCCATGTTAGCCAAGCTTTGCAACGCTGATGGCAGTGTGCTGAGGGTAGGAAGAACTGTAGGAAGAAATGCTAGTACTAATCTCTCTGAGGTGAAGATGCTTTTTGCAGACAGTGCAGGCCAGGAGGTGCTGGGATAGGGCAGGAGGAAGAAAGAGGAAAGCATGGTCAGTTGGTTATTTTCTGACTGGTAATTGTAGAAGACAGCATTGTGGGTTGCCTTTGGTCAGCTGAAGCAGTCCTTGTGTGCTGTTCATTTTCAGTAATAGAATATTTTTGAAGTCTGGGGACTGGGGCTTCTTTTCATCAAAGCTTTTCGAGATAAGATCCTGGAACAAAGCCTCGCTGCCCATTCCTTTCTGCTGTCCACCAGCCATCCTCATTTTCTTCAATGACAACTACAATGTCTCCTTCACTGATGTCCAGTTCATCCATGTTCTGAAAGGAGACAGGGAAAGGAACTGTGGTTAGCCTGAGAGCACAGGAGGACCCAAGCATGTATTTGGTGGGGTTTTATTAGCCTGACTTTTATCAACAGTCTGCCAGTGTTCTTCTGATTGGGAATGAGCCTGAAATGCCGGACAGTGAGAGATCAAGCACTTACTGAGCTGGCTGTTTCCTTAAGATACTCAAATCTCCCCAGCCTCCATGGTATATATTCCTCAGCAAGTTGACTGTTGTATCATTGGGGAAAGCCAGAAAGGGTTAAATACAACTGTCATAAACCAGCTAACCATGACTGAAGGGTTTGCGGGTGCTGTTAAATAAAACAGTGCACAACTTAATTCCCATAGGAGATGATAACAGCTTCTCTACTAACCCAGGCCTTAAATAGGTCTCTCAGTTCTTTTAATACAGAACAGCAGCAACCAGTGGGGGTACAGCAACTCTTCCTGAGATAGGCAACTTTTATCTCCCAGACAAACGGAGTAGTTGCAAGTAAGCTATTGCTGAGCTCTCAGGTGGCTATCAGTCCATTCGCGGGTGCTGCCCTATTTTCCATAGGAAACCACTTTGCTACCCACAGAGTAGTAAAATAGAAAACAGGGTAAGAGAGGCTTCCAGATATCTTTGATGTGTCAGCTAAATTGAAATTTAATGTACCTGAGTAGGTAAGAATGGAGTAAAAAAGTGAGTTTGGCTATGTTGTATACAATATACTAAAAGTAGAAACAGGCTCTTTTCTCAGCAGGGAAAATCCATGTGTGTCATATTTTTAAGGCAACTCCTGGAGTAAGGATCTGACAAACAGATCCAGCAATCTCCTCAGGGGAACTGCCGTTAACAGTGAGGTACTTTCCACTGTGCTTGGATGAAATTTCAGGCAAATAATAAAAGCATGTTTAAAACAAAGCAAACCAAAGAATATATATATATATTAAAAAAAAAAAAAAAAAGGTGTCAGAATGCTGTTGTACCTAAGAGAGTGCTCCTTTACAGCCTTTTCTCTGTTTTCATAATTTATCTGGCTATTTGTTTTGTCACATGCCAGCATTTCTTCAGTGCTGGCTATTGATGGTAAGTCCACTGTTTTGAGTCTCTCTGCACTGTAACATAAGACCTCAATGCTGCTGCTCCCGCTAATCGAAAGCTGATAACGGGAATTGACATCTGAGTCCCATTAGGGGTGGCTAATGGTTTAGCAAGTGTCCAAGAGGTTCTGGTGTCCATCTGAATAAGAAAATATTCGTAACCTTTTACTAATGGTACTATGCCTAGATAGGTCTGAAGCCAGTGAGAGTTCAGTATACCAGCTGAGAATGCAGGTTGCTCTTTGTAACAATCTTTTGGTACATGGACCACATCCACTGTGATTCTGCAACTTGCAACGTGGAAGTAGAGAGAGTGTCATTTATGGGGATTCAGTCCTCTCCAGCATGGAGGGCCAGTATGTTAAACTGGAACAGGACGCCAGATGATGTGAGGTCAGATGGAGAAGAGTTCCTAGGTAATTGTCTGTCACGTATTCTTACACAAGGAATCTGTATACATTTTCTCTAGGAAAACATTTCTCAAGAAATGAAGTTCAGAATGCACAATACTGCATACTTAGCCGTCTTCCCCTAAGAAAAAAAAAAAATTTCCTTGTGTTTCTCTCTTGTATTTCTAGAAGGAGGTTGTAACAGCTCAGCACTAATTAAGCAAAAAATCTTACTGTTTCATCTTGAGGCAGCATGGTCTACTGATGTGCACCAAGAACTGGCAGTTGAGATTCCTGGCTTCTGCCTGTGACCTTGTCCAATAGTTCTCTAAGTGTCCCTGGCTGCATAGTGAAGATAACACCTCCTTCACAGAATTGACACTTTCAAGATGTTTGGATCAACATCATCTATTTCAAATCTGACACTATGAAATATTTATTTTGAAGCCTTTCGTTACCTGGGCTGTGTAGTCATAAAGTACTCTGTAGTCCTGTGATGATGTGATTCCGGCTTGTTCATTTACAAAAATGGATGCATAGACTCCGTCTGCTTTCTCTGCTAGGGGGGAAAAAAAAAAACAAACCAACCACAAACACCAACAAAAACCCCCCAAAACCAAACCACCACAGAAACAAAGAGTTCAGTTGCTTATAAATGCATGGGATCATTTGCAAGAGTTCACAAATACAAGGGTTTCTGTTCTCTCTCTGTCTGGAGATGTACATGTATAGAAAAGCTGCTGTGAACTGTAGGTAAAGTCTTGCACAAAAACTGTGTCCCATTGATTAGATGACAATACCCCCATTGAACTTTGTGGGAGGTCAGAAACTAGCTTTAGCCTCATCCAGGTTGGGAAAAATGTTTACCCTGCCAAAGCACAATCCAAATGGTCCAAAGAGGGAAACGCTGTGATTAAAGCGGTTTAAAATGGTTGCTGGTGGTGGTATAAAATTCTAGCAGGCCTTTTTTTTTTTTTTTTTTTTTCCCTTGATAAAAATAGAAACTATTGTGCCGATGGGTCACCAGACACTTTCCAGTAGTTTACATAGCTTCCAGATAGCTATTTGTCACTGACATTAATTTTTTTGGCAGATGTTGTTTTAATCCAGCTTGTCATAATTAGGGAAACCTCTTACTCCTTCCCAGCATCTGCCTGGGAGCTTCCCCTGCCATTAAGGCAAGCAGAAATTTTGCACATATGACTCCTTGATGACATGACAGCACTCTGACAGCGCACGGACCGGCCGGGATGCCTGTGCCTTTCCCCAGTCAATTGTTGGTTTAAGGAGCGCTCTTGGCTCCTTGACTTTTCAGACTTTAAGACAAGCATAGGAGCAGTTGAAAAAGTTGAACTCATAAAGCGTTTGCCATTCCTGAGGGTCTTGTCCAGGGAATGCTCTCCCATTCTGTCCCCAGCCTAAGAAAATTCCGAAGGAGAGACTGCCCTCAGCTGCCTGGCGCTGCATTGCTCTACGTGTGCCCAAGCCCACGCTGGTGCCTGGCAGGTCCAGCTGGTGTTTGAGCACACTGGAGAGTCTCCCCCGGCTGAGCACCGAATGCAACAAATAAGATAGTCTGGGCGTCTTTTCTGGTTGCCCAAGCAGGCAGGCCTGGCAAAGGAAATTGATTTGGGTATATTTTAAAGCTGTTCTCCAACAGCTTTTTATTTTCTTTAAGCAAGAATCACAGTTAAAATGTTTTTGGTTTAAATCAAACCAGTAAAAATGTCATAAACTGTTACCTTCTGCATAGTCAAAATACTATGTTTTAAATGTCAGCTGATAAACACCTAGTTGCAAGGGTTACAATAAGACAGTGTAGCTGTGAAATTAGATGGATATCTGCATTCATAAGGCATGAACCTAGTCTGTTAAAAACGAAGTATTCTGCTGGGATTTTTAGAGGCAGTGTATTCTACCTTAGGAGGAAACTATTATTCAAGTCATACTGTGTTTTTCTGAATGTGCAGTTCCCCCTTGCCTAGACAGAGGTTCTGATTATATGGATTATTTGGCACTTTAAACCGGGAAATTTGTTTAATACACATCCAAGATCCAAGTTAAATTCATTTCCAGACTGCTCTTACTCTTGACTGCCAGCATGTGAATATCTCCTGTACCATTTCTGCTCCATGTCAAACCTTGATTTAGCAATGTGATCTAAACCAAACACATCTGGTAAATTTATTTCCTGAAAAGACATACCAAGAGGAGGGGCTGAAGGAGTGGCACTTTCCGTGTTGTTTTTGCTGGTTCCATGCAGTAGTCCAGAGAATCTGCAGAACCAAGAGAAGTCAATGACAAAATGAGTGAACAGGACTGCATATGAGCATTCCTTGTCTCAGCTGTCTGACTCAACCTTCCCTCCATCTGCTGCAGCACTGAGGAGATGTCACCTCTTCCTGTGGCTGTCTGTTTTCATTTGTGCTGCAAATATATTTATCTTCAGTTAAAAATATATTTTTAAAAAATGCAGCAGAACACTGAACCATCAGCCATCACTAAATTGCGCATAAAATGCATCAGACAGTGGTTTATTGTTGATCCAAAGGCTCATAGTGCAAAATTCCAATTATTTCACATTAATATGATGAGAATTATCAGTTTTTTATAAGAGATTACTATCTCTGTGTCTTTAAGGAAAACTGTGATACAATTTAAAATACAAAGCTTGTATGACCATCCTTTCTAAAAACTGAATTTAAGTGAAATTTTTTTTTAATCTATCCCTAGTTGTTTTCTATATCACAGCTGGGTATTGGAGACCCAGTAAAGTGAGAAAATGGGGTAGGATTCTCAAGCATAGATAGAAATAGCTTTGCATGCTTAGCATATTTAAAGGATTTGATTTTTCAGTTGGTGAACTCTCAATGTTTCTGGAAAATGGACATTCAAACTCAACAGTTTCGGAAAAACTCAGAATGAGTCTCTCTAGGCTACTTGTCCCTGCAGAACACAGTTGTGTTCTAAATGGCAGTACAGTTGTCTTCTGTAATTGTACAGGGTATGGCATTAGAATTCATAATTATAGAAGATCTGATTTCCAACTGAAAAACAAAGTATTGTATATAAACCTTATCAGCTCACCAAGAAGCCTGGACCACATTTTAAATGGTAGATCACAGCACACTCCTTGTCTTTGCCATATAATAAGGCTTGTCAGAATATAAAGCTCTTCTGCTTTAAATATGATGCCATTCCCACCGTGAATTAGCCATTTTAGTATAAAATATTTAAACCAATAGATCTACTATGCTCTTCTGCTGATATAACTGCATCCATGCTAGAGCATTTAGCAGCATAAATGGATCAGAAAAAGAAAAATTGCCTCCCTAATCATCACAGTTATTCTGCTAAGTGTTTTTTCCTTTGGTCTAGATACAGAGAGCAGCTCTTTGTTCTGCTCAGCTGGGCGGTGCAGTAAGCCAGGACATATTGCCGAAAAAGAGAGCTCTCCCCAGCCTTTGCTCCCAGCAAGATTCACCTTTGCCCTCCCTTGAACAAAGTGGTTTTGTTGCTATGTGCCATGACTCACTAGGAAAGAGGAAATAAGTGACTGCTATCCATTGCTGGCAAACTAATTGTTTTATGAATTCATTCCCTGTCTCTTCCCACTAGGCCATCGCAAAATTACTCTGACTCTGGTTTTAATAGCTTTATTTCTTCTGTCAAGTTGTATTTATTGATATGCAGCTGCCTGTTGCTACAACGAAGGAAGTAATAACTTTCCAGGTCCTGTCTCCTGTCATCACCCGTTGCGGTTCATACACGCAGGAATACCTGTTCTGGGAATTGAAGTTTGCCACTCACCTCTTCATCATCCCGCAAGACTGGGTTGGGCTGCTATTGCTTCTGTTTGGTTCTCTGCTGTAGTAGCTCTCATATCCTATTGCGTCTGCAACAGGGCAATAAAAAATGAGGTGTTCAAACAGGCAAAACTTCCTTCTCCTCACCAGAGTGCATCTGACAGTTGCAACCGTCAGGGGCTGCTGGAGCAAACTGTGACACAGCTCCTACCTGCGCTCCCCTGTAATGTGGCTGGAGCAGCTCAGGGGGACCTGGGGACTTGCCAAAAGCCATTCAAGTGACTGTAAGCAGATATGTCCTTGCTAGAAAGGCTCTGGCCCGAGATGAGCACAGTCAAGGTCCCGGAGAACCATTGCAATAGCTGTGGCTAACCCTAATGAAGAGGGCAGTTTCCTCCATGACTGTTTCCTCTGTTGCCTTAAAGCTCCGGATTTAAGGGATCAGAGCATGGTCATTGTGACCTTGGGACCGTGTTTATGACACAGTTGACTGCAGTGTGTTTTGTTTCTTTTTTTCTTAATGTATTGAGTCAGGAATTTTTGTCAGGGCTGGGGAGATTTCTGAACATTATTGCCAGCAGCAATGATGAGCAATTTCCTGGTCTCTGCTTGTGCTTGAGCATTGCCTTTCATATCTCCCCCATCCATCTCCTGAGAGCTGATTTGCTGTTTACCCAGAGATATGTGGGTTTTGTTCTCTCAAATATAGCTATGTTACAGTTCCTTCACTCTCCCCTATGGTGTCGTTAAGGGTGAAATTGAGACCAATTCCAAGTCTAGCTTTACAGATGAAATAGTTACAGATGGATTTATTTATTTTTCATCCCATAGCTTCCAGTGTAGTTGCTTAGAGCTGGTGGCCACACACTCTTTCTGCCTTCTATGTGTTAAAGCCAAACAAACATGAGTGAAGCCTGTGATACTGCGTTATCTCAGTTCTGATACCAGCAAATTAAGAAAGACATTAGGCTTGGGCTAAAGGTTGTGTTCACATTCTCACATTGGGTCAGCCAAGATCACAAGCAGAGCAGGCATGTACAACAGTGAGTGTGAAGAATCCCTACAAATAAGACTCAGAGTATTTAGGGATTTTTCTGACCAGTTTAAGGGTCTCCTCTTACCCATGTAGATAGTTACCTTGGTACAGTTTCTAGTTTATAGTGCATTGTAAGATTAGGTAGAAGAGGGGAGTGCACAAAGGTTTGGTCAGGATGAAGGTCTTCTGCTACACATGTGGGTTTCCTCCTGCATTTTGCAAATAAAACAGATGAACAGCTCACCATGTGCTACTGTGCAAACTCATTAACCAGAGCTGCGGAGACACTGGGATGTTACTTCCAGAACATGTCACCTTCTAGAAGGTGGCAAAAAAACCAACAAAAAAGCAAGTCAGTTGTTTCTTTGCCGTTCATAAAGCTCTCAGGGGTTTCTCCCACCTATTTCTTATTAGAAATGAGTCCTGACATAGCCAAGAGCTGTTTGCAGAAAATTGCCTAGGCGACGGGAGAATGAGAAATCTCACATAAGGAAAAAAAAACCCTAGCTGAGAATTACAAATTTCTTAGTATACAGAGTTGTTTCACACTGTTGCAAGGCACAGTTCTCCCTTCTGCCTGTGAAAATATATTTTTTCCTTGGTAAATGCTCTTATATCAGTGAATTTTAATCCCCTATGTGAAGAAGAATAAACGATAGCAGCAAAATGGCATGCAGTGCACCAGTATCAATATATTACTTTAAAAAATTTCTCCAAATCCCAATTCTTAATCATCATAGGTATAATGACAGAAAGGCTGGGTGAAAAACAGGCCTCAGCTCAGTGCTGAGTTAGTGACAGCATCCAGCTCTGCTGAGGAAGTTCCTGGGGTATAATTGCTGCCAGCTCCGAGTTCTGTGTTGAAACCCAAGGGGTGTAAGCTGTTCCTGTACGAGATAATTATTCCTTGGGACAGGGCATTCATACTGCTGATGTTTGTACCTGTGCAGATTCTAGCACGGAAGGTTTCTGTCAGTATAAAATTTTCTGATACCACCCCGAATGGAAGTAAGCTCTATTGATGCTGCTGAGGGCATACTAAGGGGATTTTCTCTTTGCTGTAGCAGTATGGTGGTAGAGCAGATAGTGGAATTGAACAGTATCTGCGCACAGATTTTTAAAAGATGAAGAGAGCTTTTCAGCACAGCTATATATCATCAGCTAATGAAGAGATGAAACAGGGATTTTTCTCTCCTTTTACAAAGGCAGCGAATCTTTGTTTACTGCAGCAGCTGCACAGAAGTGCAGGCATTCACTCAGTCTGTAAATATCTTGTATTGCTTGTTGAAGTAAGGAGGTATGGTTTGTATCTGGCTGTGTGAAACACTAGATAGCCTCCTTTCCAGTGATGTGTTTGGAGAACTCCTACCCTGGAGCGGCATGTTTTCATTTCACAACTGCTCTTAGGTCTTGCTGTCTCAGTCTCTGTTTCAGCCCAGAGGTTTTGCTCATTGAAGTCGATGAAAAGGCTGATTTGGCTCTTTGGGCAGAGCCTGTGAACCTTACATCGCTTCTCCATGCTGGGGCAAAGCCAATTTCATACAGAAATTTGCCCAACTGGAGTCTTGCCCTTACACAAACAACTTCCTGAGAGGACAAAACATTTTATTTCCCATTGGGCAGGTGGAACTAAACAGAATACAAAGTCTGCTCTTCTCTTGTGCTGCAAATGAAGAGGCAGCATCTCTGTCAAGGGGACACCAGGGTGCAGTTACACAATAGTTGGCTCTGACTCGTCACCACTGCAGGAAATTGAGGTTGCCATCTCTGCAAGGCAGTTTGCCATCTCCTTAGCAGTGTCAGTTCAGCTGTACTGTGAAATGAGCCTGGTTGCAAAGCCAAAGCTACCTTTTTTTTCTTTTTTTTTTTTCTTCTTTTTTGGAGGGTTATTTTTAACCTGGATGTTGTGGATCGTTCAGCTATCCCACTTACAGTGCTGTGCAAGAAGCGATGGCAGCACAGTGAGGGGGACGTGAGGAGCGGTGGGTGGGAATGAATAGCCAGAGCAGAAGCTCCTCCAGTTGGCTTCACCTCCAAAGGACATGTACTGCACAACTGCAGCCTCAGCCTAACGGGTGACTCATCTGACAAGACCAACAGGAATAATTACCTGGAGGTTGTGTTCCTGTCATTTTAGTCTTAATGAAGTAGTCTATGTCTGACTCTACAATGCAGTTCTCCAAGCTTACGCGAACCTCTTCGTACAGCTACAAAACAGAATCCAAAAATTTCATTTAATTATTAACATTTCACATTGAATTAACAATTAATGCTCTTCTAATAATTTTCCCCTTAAGAGACCCGTTACACCTGGTACATGTCCAACCTGGACAGATCTTTGGCCTGTCCCCCATACAAACATTCTTGTAAACACAATGGTTTATTTGTGCTCTGGATGTTCTTTTAAGAGACGAGTACGAAGGCAGTCCAGGGCTTCTCAATGCAATAGATTAATATCAGGAACAACTATTCAAAGTCAAAACTCATGTCTGCTTTATGCCTTCTGATTTTGAGACCATGACTGGATGCCTTTCTGAAAGATGTGCCTGAGTGCAAATATACTCAACTGACCCTTCTGGTAGCCCCAATCATTCCCCAACAAACTGAGGGGAGGAGATGTGTAAGTGTCACCGCGTGCGACACAGACTGTCTCCATCCAGGCATATATCTGGCTTACATCTAGAGGGAACAAGCTAGATTGAGTATACCCACACATACACTGAACATGCACAACAGCCAGTTTACTGGAGACAGTCAGCATGTGCAGAGAAGGGCAAGTTAATGCTATATTGTTAGAGCACTCTTGCTCCTCCTCTTCCACCTCTGCACATGAAGCTATTGGCAGGAGCCCCTACCTCGTCATCCTTCACACACTGCATGGAGAGCTGGTTGCTGTGAACCCACAGCGAGTTGCGGAGGATGGTGATGCGGTCGCACTCCTGGAGCTGGAAGACCTAAAGCCAAAGAGGAGATGTGATATAGCCTCCCTCGTGGTAGTTATATATTTGCATTGCAGGCAGCAACAGGGCTGGGGCTTCTCTGGGCTGAGTTCATAAGTCTGCAAACTTCTGAAGGATCCTTTGTAGAGGACGTCTTTTCAGCCACTGGAGAAACTATATCTACTTTTTCGTGCTCAAGAATTTGTTTTAGTTGATCGCACCAAATTAAAGTTATGTTTTATAGACAAAAATAAAGAAGGGGAGAGGAATCAGGATCTGGATTTGACTGCCACCTCTACTGCCAAGGATTTCAGAGTCAGGGTCCTGTCTGCCCATCACACTGAAATCTTGATGTTTAACAGATCAGTAGAGTACCAGCACAAAATGGTTGTATTTATGTTAGAAGTAGAGCCAAAACTATCCATCTCTGCCTTCTAAAATGTCTTTCCAAACTTTTCTCTTTTGAAACTATTTGAGGCCCTCTGGAGTTGCCTCTGTTCATTTCTAAGGTTATTTTCATGGTAAAGAGAAGGCATTTTTCTTTCATCAGCGTTTACTCCCTTCATCTGTCTGATTTTCTCATGTTGTTGCACAGCTTGGGAAGAACGCAGGGGGAAGAGAGAAGTGTGAACTGAGGTGGGGGAAGAGGCAGATAAACCTCTTTTTTTAAAAATGTAAAAAACCCAAAAAACAAAGAAAAAACCCCATAACCACCCTGATCTCTAAGTTGTACTGTTATAAGTAGAACATCAATTTTTGGTTTTCTATGAGGTGTGAAAAGCTCAGATGCTTCCAGCCATCTGTTTCCATCTCTATTTGCTAGTAATTATGTCCAGAACACTGCAAATGTATACAATATTCAGCAGAACATTCAGTTGGGTACGCTGCCTGCCATCTAATATCTTACCATCTAAAAAAAACCCAGAAAAGAGTCTGTCAAGGGAGTAAGCTGGCACTGGGACCAGTTTCTGAGAGAAAAAGCTTTTAAAGAGAACCTGAAGGGTGGAGAATGAGTATTTAAATATCCATTCTGAACAAAAAGCCTATGGTGCAGCCTAGCCCCTCGGGGGCTGCTGAAATAGCACAAGAGCAGACTGGGAATTTTCCAGGTAAATGGTGTCCTGTCAGGAAATGCAGCTCATCAAAGGGAAGTGGTGTGACTCTGGGCTTGTCAAGCCTTTGCAAAGTAGAGCTGGGTGTTGTGTTAGACGCATCCCTCGTGCCCCCTCAGCTTGTGTGACAGGCTGCTAGTGAACCTGGGCATCTCGTGCCAAGGAATGTGGCACAGGCCCCGTGATGAAGGTCATCCTGGTGCTGCCACTTGCTAGCCAAGGTTTTCAGGCTATGGATATCTAGTGCTCAGCTAGACACCCAAGCAACCTCAGCACTTCCAGATTCCCCACTCTGCAGCCAGAAGTTTGGGATCTTAAGCTGCTTTTTGTACTAGTTACTAGTTTTAAAGGCCTCAAAAAAAAAAAATCAGTTCTTCTATCTACAAGCACTTTTAAAAGAAGGCATTGAAGATGCCCTTCCTTTACGACTGGTTGTTTGAATTAAGCAGTGGGCAGGCCACAAGCTCCGTGGGCTATTCAGAATTTAGCCATGTGGGAGAAATGAAGTGTGTTAGGTTGTGGAACGCTTTGCTTGTTTGTTGGCTTTTTAAGAAGGAGGAAAATGTGCATCTTGGGAAAATTAAGGCTTGGCACAATTTCTATGGAAAGTCTGCTGTGCCAGCCATGGGACTTTCCACTCCTCCCAGATAGGGGATATTTAAGAGGAAGCCGAGAACTGCAAAGCTATGCTCCTGGCATTTCATTTTATGTGGAAATAAAGCCTGCAATAAGTAAACATAGCAAAATCATACTTTAGCAGATGGGCAAATGTATTTGAAGGATTAATATGACCAAGTATGTGGCTGATTGGGATGTCAACCAGTTCCTGTAAATTATTGTACAAAACTTACTAGCCAAGAGCAAAGCTCCTTGTTCATCCTAAGCATAATGGAAATAGAGACTTTTCCACCACCACCTTTCAGTTGAAAGATTACTCCATGGCAGAGGGCAGACATTCTGCAGGTGAATATAAAGTGCTATGCAAAAAAAGACTCTGAGTAGCTTGGATATCTTTGCTCTCAGAATGCTACAGTACATACTTTTTTTAGCTTAGCCAGAAAATTTTATTTTTAGTGGCCGTTGAACTTGTGAGATTTTTTAAAAAATAAAGAAACAAACACAAAAACATCTCCTGCTTTGGGACAAAAAGCCATTCTGGTAGCCTCTTGCAAAACATAATCTAAACAGAATCTTTTGTTCTTTTTCAATCAATTAACTGATTCTTCTTGTTTCAATTTTGAAATTCATTTTTTAAACTAAAACTGAATGTTCACGTCTATGTTTCTGTTCATTTTCTACTGAAATTGCATTTTGTCACAAAGCAGTTATTTGAGAAACAATCTTGTCTGTGATAGAAGATCATGCCTAAAGCTAATGTATTCTTATGTTAAGTTGTGGGTGAAAACTGGCAGCAAAGGCTTGCAAATAGATTGTACCAGTTCATATATTGCTCCACTCCTCACACCTCTGCACTTATTCCCCTCCTTTACATTTACACACATATGCTGAACAAGCAAGGAGACCATAAGCGAGACAGCTAGCAGCTATGTCTAAATCAACTCTAGTTTTTGCAGTATTTTTGCAGAGACTTCTACTGAGACTCCACATAAGCAAACAGCAAGCCCCTTGGGACATTATCTCAGGTCTTTAGACCGGTATCTGCAAGTAGGATAAAACAAAGAGCGCACAAATACATCACTGCAAAAGTCAATGTTTACCTCGCAGGTTTTGATATGTTCCTGTTCCCACTCTGTCCTGACCTTATCCAGCTGCTCAATGTTCTGTTTGTACACATTCTCTGTAAACACAGACACACATAATAGTAACCCAACGGGAAAAAAAAATGACGCAGGCTCTCTTTTCCCTCCTATAGGACTTTGCTGTGGTTTTTACACTTTAGGCCTGTGGTTTGCTAGAGCATCACAAGAACGTGTGAGCTTGAAACTGGTGGGCTGCAAGGATATTCGTTTTGTTTCTTTGCAACTTTATACTAGAGTGAGGATTCTCTCTGCATGGTTTGCACATCATCTATAAACTTCAGAGTGGGGATAATGCAAATCAGAGGCTAAGAGCCTGGACCATGCTTGGGCACTGAGCACCTGTAGGCTCTTTCAGTGCCGGGCCAGCCAGGTAAGCCATGGGATTTAGTGTAACCTTCTACATGAGCAGTGAGGGACAAGTCTGAACTCATGAACCAGCTCAGATGTCTGCTGTCCTTCTGGACATATACTGTGTTTCTGGCGGCAGAGCACTACCATGCTCATGTACAGGGAACCTGGGGGCTGTGTATCTGGTTTGGGCTGGCGGGGGGCAATCTGAGTGTCATTCTTTTGTGCTTTCAAACTTGTTTCAAGAAGAGCTTTTCTTTCCTGGGTGAACTCCCTAAAGGAGATCATCTCTAAATTCCTTAATGACAGCAGGACACTCGCATTTCCACAGGAAAGTAAATGTAGATGACTGTCAGGTTGCTGTTCTTTAGAAGTTTCTTCTTTGGGAAACCTGACTTCAAACAGAGCCAGCCTGAGTGATGTGGATGGTGCTCTATCAAAATCAGTGTGCTGAGAAAAATCTTAGTTCCGTTGCAAATAGAGCATCACCTGCTTCATTTGCCGCGTCTCTGCATTGCTTCGCTTTGTTCTGACTCTGAAACAGGAAGAGAAACACCCCAAATTAATTTCTGACCATATATTTGGCTTTGCCCCAGATTTTTTGCTGCTTTCTCCCTTTCCCCTTCTAGGGAAAAAGCTCAAATTTGCAAACACTTCTTGGCTGTCCCACCTCTATGCACAGTTCTGTTCAATGTGTGCTGTGGAGAAGGGACCAGAATTTCACAGATGCAGCCACAGGGCCACTGAGTTCAAGGGAACTCTGGCAATTTGCATCTTTCCATTCAGACATCCCTGCCATAGGAGCTCGGTGCTAGCATGACCCACCCTGAAGCTTGTGTCTGCTGGCTGAGTTGGTTTTTGTTAAGTGTTTGATGTGCTTTTCTAATAGATATTTATAAGCTGAAATAAATGGCATCTTCCAAGCTCCTCATGTAATACACAGATGAAAAGAACACAGCCTATAAAATACTTTGCAAATGCCAGATTATTTCCCATAACAACTCAGAAGCCTCAAAGCAAAATTCACTCAAAGTAGAACTTTTCTTTTTTAAAAACCTGCAGCTTTTAACAATGAAAATACGGCTGTTATTGACAGCTCTGTACTCCCAAGTCTTTCTGCACAGATGGTGATGACGGTACATTAATGCACAGCTCTAGACATCAGTGTAATACATTCTTCCATTCTGCCCTTCAAGATAAGGCTCAGGTAGGGGTTCTTATGACCATATTCCTCATCACAGCTGGTTGGGAAACGTGTAATAAGCTGGGAACATAAGCTCCAGTCTTATCTGTTTCCTGGCCCAAACTGTTCGCAAAGTGCTGCACTGACTCCTTTCTTGTGAGCTGCCTCTGTGCATTGCAAATGTGCTGGCATGTGTGTGGAAGTAAGGCAATGAAGCACCCGGGGATCCTTCTGTGTGAAAGGAGCTGGGTCAGATTTTGATGCCGTTGAAGCTGCTAAGTGTTCTGGCATAATTTCAGTAGGTCTAGGATTTTGTCCTCTCTTTACTGCTAAGCTGGAGGCTTTTGTTCATCAAAGATTAGCAAATGCTGGAAATAAAATGTAAAGTTCTGATGCTGTTTTTGGAGTCTCCATCCCCCTACTCCTTGAGATGATTTTTGATCCTTTTTGCTTACACTGCACTGATTTTTATCGAGCCAAAGGGAGTTCATTTAGTTTGTTTTCTCCATCTGTTCCGCTGTAAAATGTTCCCATTAAAAGTTAGTGAATTGTCAGCTACAAGTATCAAGACGATGCAATGAAGAACTGCAGTGCCTTAATTTCCAATGATTTATTTCTGAGTTTGTAAATTTAGTTGAAATTAAACTAACCATAAGGAGAAAAATGTTGAGGAAAAAAATATGCATTTTAATGTAAGATACTATGCCTACTAAATGTAAGCGACCAAAAGGCAAAACTAACTGCATGACATACTTCTGTCTTGTTTCTTTTTTTATGAATAATTTTTGAGAAAAATCTCATTCAGGATTCATAGAGCAATTAGATCATAGCCTGGGATAAATTAGTTAGATAACTTAGTTCCTTCCCAGCCTTTTTAAAAACCTTTGGCCTATTGCAGAACAAGATCAGGGATTCCAAACGAGTTTGTGAAGGAAGACCTCCTTCGGAAGGTGTTTTGTTTTGATTCTAAAGGGTTAATTAGAAGGGAAAGCAGCCCCTGGCACCCCGAAGATTGTGTTGCTCAATTGTATTCTCTTGTACCTTGAAAAGGAAAAACACACGGTTTTCTCTCTAAATAACACTGTCATATAAGATACCTTTTCTGTTTGCTTTTGGTTGCCTGAAGCACTTGTCCGTTCAAAGGACTGCTCAGCCTCATCCGCCTCCTTGCACTTCTGTTCATAGGTCTTCTTTGACTGTATTGAAATGACATAAAATGTGAGGATTTGGATTAGGGAACAGGCTGGGTTGTCTCCAGCATGATGTTCTAGGCATTTTCTGTTTTGCAGTCTGAGGGAGCAAATCAGTGCCCAGGTTTGGGCAACAGAAAAAATTCCCAATGACACCATAAGAAGATAGAAAATGAGAACTGAAATATTGGGGTAGGGGCCGACAGCATAAATTGTCTCCTTTTCTTGCAGCCCTGAAATTGCTTTCTACAATTGCATTCAGCTCCCCACAGGGGTGGTCACAAATACACAGGCAGCTCTAGCACCATCGGTGCCTCAGGTGTCTGTCCAAGCTACAGCGTACAGACAAAATTAGGAGCGCACAGTCCCAGGGTGCCTGTGGGGATGGGTTGTCATTTCTACAGCGTGACTTGGAGCATCAGGTGGCTGAAGAAAGAGTGTTGCCTTGTCCATTGCTCCAAGCTGTGAGACAGATCCAGCACCCCATAAGTAACAGCCTCTGTGTAGTCCTCAGAAGCAAAAGAAATCCTTATTTGTACCAGAAGACCTCCCTGTATTACAGATTCACTTAAAACAACCCCGTTTAAATAAAAATTGTTAGTACAATTCCAGCTGTAGCACTGACAGCTCTGCAACTACTTTTCTTTAGAGGCAATTGCTCATTGGAAACCAAAACCAGCTGCCTGCAGTTCATGTACCTGCAAGCTTTCCAGCTGGAGAGGTTTCCTCCTGTTTACAAGATTTCCTCACCATTTTTAAAATCGTATTTACACAGACTGAAAAATTACATTTGCTCCTGTAAGCATCCTTACCTAGAAAGAATGAAATCCTGTTTGACATGGGGCATTGTTCATTCCACATGAACTTTCTGAGCATCTCTTCAGTGGGTGTGGCATGGAAGATGAGCTTCCTCCTCAGAGCAGGAATACATCTTCTCCCTCCCATACTCTCTTGCACACTCACACATTCCTGACCTCTTTTTTTTTTAATATAGGTACATGTGGTACAGATTTTATTCTGTCTCAAACTGGAGCCAGTTTGCACCAAGAAACCTGCACAAAACTTTCTTGCTTACCTCCACTGTTTTCTTATAATGGGACAATTTTCTCTTTTGTATGCGCTCCATTGCGGACTCGTACTGTAAGAAACACACAGAACTAAGCATTTCTTGATTTGGACTTCTTCCTCCCCTTTTTAGTGGCAGGATTAGGAAAGCCATTGTCAGGGCCTTTCCATAAACCACATGCCTGTGGAAAAAATTACTTCACTCCGCTTTTATAAATGATAGGTTTCTAAATGATACAGAGAGCATCAAAGTACCAGGTAAAAAAATAATCCAAGGTAATTCTGCTTCAGTGGTTTCTATTAATAGCAGAGAGCATGTAGATCTTAATTTTCTTCCTCCATTTTTTTTTTCCTTAAGGAGATTAAATAGCATAACACCCAGTCACAGTGCCCGTCAGCTCTGCCAGCAGAGTTCCTTTGCTGGTGCAGGAGCTCGATCCCACACCTCTGCAGACCAAACCACTGCCCCACCAAGGGTAGTTGTCCATTTTAAACACGAACAATTGTTTTGTAACTTATACTCCATTGCTTTTGGCAAATTTATGCTCAGTGTGATTTGATTTCCATACCGTCATCTGGTCAGCGCTGGAAGGACAGTGCTGAATTCTCTTTTATGGCTTTAGTTGTGATTTGCCCAGCCTTATGTGACAGTGAGATATGCTCCTACTCAGCAGGGTATGGGTTTCTTCAGTGGGACTTTTGGTCCTTGAATCCCTATATTCTGCTCAAGCAAAGCTCTCTCTGGGGTTACCCAGAGGCTTGCTTCACATTAGGATAAAAAAATAACTCAGTCCTGAGAGCAGCTACAGTGAAATACAAATCACAGCATTCTGGGAGGTTACCAAAAATGCTGACACCATCTAGCATGTCGAATGTTGACTTCCTCACAGCCACATGCTGGACAGAGGAAAAAAGCTCACCTAAGTCTCAAAAGCAGTTTTTCCAGGCCTCTCTAACTATTTCCAGTTGAGGGTTGGGGTTGTGGGTTTTTTTTTGGCTTATTGTTTTCAACAGGAGAGAGAGCCTCTCCCTCTGTGCGTTGTAGCAGCAAAGGTGTGGGGTGGGATACAAATGTTGATGAACTGGGTGCACACTGTCTGTCTCTGTCTGCCTTATTTGCTTCATCAGGTTGCTGTGGACCTTAAATCTCAATAGCAGCACTGATTTTACCCACTTTCATATTCAGAGTTCTTTGCTGTTCCAAGTTTCTCTGTGTCAGGGTTGTAGACACAGGTCTTTTGTGGCATTGGATACTGGTCATATACATTTTCATTTGTTTAAAATTAGCAAAGAACCGGATATTTTATTTTACTCCTCTATCAGTCAGTGCTCTCAGTGTTAGGTGACTGTCCAGTCTTTGTCTTCAACACCATGGAACCAGCAAAGGTGTAAGAGTGACCACTGTTGTCTCTATTGAGAGCTACTTTTTCAAGGGACTTAGAGCTTGTAAAGATCACAGGGGATTAAATTACTTTAAATAACTCAAATTTTTATGATACAACATCAACTAGTTGCTACTTATTCCACATGTTTGTAATTCAGCATATATTGGTGTTGCATTCAGCATGATAATAATTTGCTTTTACATTTTTAAATGTTTGTGTTATCCCTTTATTTTAGTGCATGTTGGAGGTCATGAAGGATCATACCAAAGAGACCCAGTTAGCAAGGCTATAAAAAAGAAAAAAGGAAGGATTATGTTCTTACAGGAATAATAATAGTATCTGCAGTTGCACCACAGAGAGTAAAAGTCGCTAAAGCCTCTGTCTCCTGAGTTCAGAGCACTGCTTTATTTCCAGCTGGGATCAGAAAGAGATTTTCTTCTACAGTCTAGTATATAGAGTGAACAGGGCACACTGGGCATGTTTTATCATATTTTGCAGTATTCACAGGCTATGGCCGGAGAGGCAGGTCAGCAGCATGGACCATTGACCCAATCTGTTTCAACGTTTCTCTAGTTCCTCACCTTTTTTCTTTGCTCCTTCTGTCTTTCTCGGAACTCTTCTATTCCTTTCAGTTCATCCTTCAGCATTACTGCCAGCTGGATGTGAGAGTTCCCAACACTTTCAATTTCTAAAGCAAATCAAAATTCATATACAGTCAGTGGAAAGGTCTTTAAATATGAAGTCATATTTTTCAAGAGACGTTTCTGGGATGTGGCTGCTGTATGACTTGTCATGAACAGGGTAGCCCTGACATTGCCAAGGGTTCATACAACCTGAGTAGGGCTTATTGCAGGTCAGTCCTGCAAAATGCATGGCCAGGGCTCCTCACTGCAGAGCTGGAGCACTCACTCAGAGCAGCCTTGGCACAAGCAGAGCCAGCTGCATTGCTTTATAGCCCCCTCTACCCCAGCCACTGTACCCCATTTACCCCATTTACCCCTTCCTTCTGGGGCTGGAGGTCAGATGCTGTGGGGCAGGGGGAGGGAAGGAGCTCTGACCCCCATCATCACCCCCTGTGCCTGCTTTCCTTCCACTATGCTGCTGGATTGTCACTGCTCTGAGAGCTGCTTGCCAGTTGCATCCAGCCTTGCACTAGTGTCATTAGACGAAGCTGCAAGCTGAGAATTTCCAAGGGTCGGCAAAGATGGATTGAATTTCAGAGCACCTGGCTGAAAGTTGTTGGCTTTGGTGCCTCTGAAATGAAACCCCACATTTTCCAGAAGTCTTGAGCTACCCCACCCAGGCTCTAAAAATACCTTAATTCACCAGCTGCTTTTCAAAAGGGTGTTTTAAATTTAAACAGCAGGTGCCAGTAGCCAGGTACACTGTCCTATTGCCTGTTGCCTTTTCTGTGTGTGGATGGTTTTCGTTCAGCCTTGGGCACATTTAGAAAGCATGCTGGTTTGATGTCAGTGGTTTGCAGAAGAGGCAACAGAGCTGATATTTTGTGACTTGATCCAGATAAAACTAACTCGAGGGACAAGCTGTTTTCTTGGCCACCAGAGTAGACTGAGTGCCCAGCCATGGAGGACTCCCAGTGAGTATCCTTTCCCTCCGCTCTCCACACTACCGACTGGGGTAGAAAAGTTGGAAATAGCGGGGGGAAGAGGATGAAAGACTGGATAGTGGATGAATACATTGTGTGCACGTCTTACCCAGGTCAGAAAGGAAGATATATATAGAGATATATATATATATATATACTTACGTTGCTTGAGCCTCTCAAATGCTGCCTTCAGTGTGCTGTGAGGCAAAAACAAGTACACTTTATTAATATAGGCTTCTAAGGATGGGTTGTGAATCTAGAGAAAAAACTTTCACTTCAAATTTCAAAGATCCACATAGAGGTAAAACTCTTAACAGTCTTGTAATAAAAGTTGACCATGCTAACAAGCACAATAGCATCAATCTGTTACCATCAGGAAATGCAATAAAATGCTCCATGAAGCAAGGCATTGCACTACTCCTTATGTGCACCCTCTTAATCCCAGTATATTTGTGACTGTGAATGTTAACAGCCGTTTCTCTATACTTGCACCTTGCCAACGGATACAAGTCAACTGAGTGAAATAAAGGCGGTCAAGGGGAATTGAGGTTTGGAGCACTAGTCTGAAGAGTAGAGTGAAACCAGCTCCACCCTCTCTCTGTGATGAATGCAGCACCAGCAAATTTTTCCTCCTCGGTCACCCTTGAAGCTAGAGCAGCTCTGCTATGCAGCATCCTCCATACCACGTTTCCCGAGCACCCCCGTGTGGCACAGCTCACTCTCCTTTAAAAGACACAAACGGTGGAGAGAGCCTACAGAGGCTTTGAAACCCTGATGCTCCCAGAAGTACAGCACGAACAAACCATGCCGTGAAATCAAGGCTCGGTGCTGGGCTCTGAAGTACAACATGGAGATGAGCAAAAAGAGATGTTACGCTGCTCATCCAGAAGGACCTACACCACTTAGTGGTCCTACAATGTGGAGTTGCAGAAGGACGTGAAAGGGTAACGATAGATTGCCTAGTGTGATGTTTTTTGGCAAGCCAGAACCCATTTTAAGAAAGCACCAGAGATACCAGCATAGAAGTAAGGGGAGAGGACAAAGCATTGTCTGTGAAATGCTTTTTCAACTTAATAATTTCATCTAGTTCCAAGTGTGCAGGCTGGCACGGCATTTGTATATGCAGAAGCCAGGGCTGTGGTGTGATTTGGGGATTTTTCAGATTTTAAAACCATCTCTTCAAGACCCAGAGTGTGTTGTTCCCTGAAGGAAACAGTTCTGGGATCTCCATGGAATCCTGGTCTACCCAAGGCATGAGCCCAGGGGAAAAGCCTGTTAATGAAGACCCTGAAGTCTCCCTGGCTGAAGCCTGGCTACCAGGAGAGCCCAGAAGAGGATGCATATCCCAGCCATGTGTGACCGCAGATGGGTTGGGAAATCCTGTATCTCTTGGGCTGTTTCAGGAGACTTAAGAGACACATGAAGGATCCTAATTGCCCTGTGTTAATTTAGGCTGGACATCTGTTTCCTAATCAAAGCTTGCTCTCCTGGTAACAAGACTGCCTTGGCAGGCATAAGAAAAATGCACAGGCGTGGGGAAAGGCTGGGCGTCCTCAGTGATAACTGATTTGCAATTCACTTCCAAATCTAAATTTGTAGAAATATAAGCAAAAGACTTTAGCCAGAAAAGATGAGCATTGAGCTAGCTGTTTGATTCTTTAGCTTCCAACTAGATTTGTTGTGGTGAATCTCCTGAATTGTCATGCTAGATAGAGTATTTTTCAATATTGTCTTAATAATACTTTAACATTTTGAAGGGTTTTTTGCAAAAAATTAATCTGGTGTGAAATTTTGATAGGAACTAAATTTTCATAACACAAAGGAAACAAACAGTATTCTTTCCAGCCAAGTTAATTAAAAGCTTGAAGTTAAAAGATAAGTTGAATATCAGAAGCAGAGATAGCTTTTTCTTTTTCTTTTTTTTTTTTTTTCCCCTAAAATCTCCAATGGATTATTTTGAGAAATTAAATATATACAAGGAATTAAATTCACTTTTTCAGTTTGGATTTTCCAATACGAGATGGGGAATGTGCTGACACACACATCCATGTCTGAAACAAGTAAATACTGGAATTTAAAAAATAGAGGGCACTTGCAAGCTGCACATACTATTTGCACGCTGTGTTGATCTATTGTTCCCAGAGGTTTTTTTCCCTTTGCTGTTGGTGATTCAGGTTATGCAAAGCCTAGCAAAATTGTTGTAGTGGATACTGAAAAATAGAGCTTTCTCAGTACATATTGAGGACAAAAGCAATTTGCTGCTTTTTTTTTTTTTCCAGGCATCTGAGCTACCAGAGCAGTTCAAAAGCCATACATGAAGCTTTTCTCCTTTTTGCTGGCTCTAAGGATGAGTGTGTCTTCTAGTATAATAATGCATCTGGCTATGACTTGGAGAGGGACCATTTTGCCCCCTGCATGGTCTCTAATGGCCTTTTCAGAAAGCTCCAGCCTTTTGCTCCTTGTATGAAAGATTTGTCCAGCCAATTGTATATGCCCCAACTGGGGCAAGGCCACAGACTGAAATAGACTTATGCCATTTCCTTCCTTATTTTTATAAGAATTTTCTAAAATCAGTGAATTGTGCTCCTCATCCTTATGGGGCTTAAGGGAGTAGCAAATATGCCATTGTGCAAAGTTATGTGTAGGAGAGAATAAAGATAAGAAATTTTGACCCATGGATCTGTCAAGTATTCCTTTATGACTTATGGGCTGCAGGGATGTGCTGGCTGCAGTAGCAGCTCTGCAGATCAGCTCCTCGCTGCTAGATGCTCTGATTATATCGGTGAAATATATCGTTTCAGTGCTTTGGAGGGTTTAATGGAAGCAACATACAAGTGAGTTTTAATTTTGCCTGTGCTGTTTTGTATGTACAGTACCTATTACCTGCTGCTTCTGGGTGGGTTTGACTTTCTAATAGAATTGATAAGGGCTTTACTCTGAAGCATCCACAGTGAGAAATTCTCACTCTCCTGGACACTTTAAAAGCGTATTTTATCCTCTCAGTATATTATGCTGCTTAGCGTTGTCGTAGTAATTGATTTTTGTTTCTTCTGTGGCCAAATTAGAAAACCTGGGGTTGAAAATAATTCAAGCAAAACTGAAAATTTGTGATTCACCTCTGTTCTTTTTATTTTTCTATTTTTTTAATTGCTTACTTCTGACATATCCATGTAAATTCTGAAAGACTGTTAAACCACTCCAGCTGAGGACAGAGCACCAGCCTTACTTTTGGGCATCCTTACACGGAGCCTCCTGCAGATGTCCCACTGAAAATAGGGCTGGACGCAGACTTACTGTTGCGTGTTTCTTAAACGGCTCCTCCTTGAACATTTAAAGATTGGGTTTGTCAAAACGAATTTCTGACAGAAACAAGATTGACTCTGAATCCGAAATAACGGGGAACAGATAGAGCCTGTGCAACAGTCACTCTGCAGCAACCTCTGGTGATTTTTGCCATCTAGTGGCTGCAATATTCTTACCGTTTTCCGGAGTGCTTCAGTGCTGTTGCTATTCGAGTACAGCAGAATTGAGCTGCACTTGTAAAATATGCACGTTTCAGTGGCTGTTTTTTTCTAGTGGAGGGGGAGAAGGAGAATCGCAGAGCTTTTAGAAGAACGGGGGAACCAAGGGAAGAAGCTCATTACAATAAAGCTCACCCATTATTTGGCATTCTTGTTCTGTAGATGACGAAATACTTCCCAAAGTGAATTTATCGAAATTCACCCAGAACACCACAGCTGGAAAGGCAGCCTGTCTCTCCAGGGCTCTGGTCACTAGTCCCTGTGGCTCTCCTCTAACAGGATAAACATTTACAGAATGCATCATTTGAGAGCTTGGTTTGATTTTTCTCCCAGCAGAACCTGTCCCTTACTTCCAAGGCAGAAAACAGATCCTGTATTTGAGCAAAGATGCCTTGTGTGGCACTCACCCACCATTGCAGCATAGGTAAGAGGAGTAGTGGGGAACCACTGCATCAGATCATAAATCCGTTTTACTTGCTCACTCTGCATAAGTATCTTATAGTTGGTTCAGGAGAGGGACTCGACTGGAACAGTATGGGATGACAGCACTTGAGGGTGAACTTTCCTAGCTACTCTCTGTGTTTGCTAGAGAACTGGGCTGTTGCTGCAGAGCAGGCTGCACTGGGCAGTCCTGCATCACATGAGGACCACCAGAATATGTACTGTAGATAGAGTATGGTACCTCCTGCTTCACACTCAAGTTGAATTTTATAGCGTCAGAGATGTAATTAGCAGAGATCTACCAGTGGCAGTGCTTAGGTCACTGGTATACTCACTACATACACTGTTGCACCACACCTTTTTTTTTTTTTTTTTTCACAACTTTAGGCTTGATGGCTATGTCAATTTTTTTTAGTAATTTGCCTTTAGAGACTGGTTTAACTGTGTAATTCAGAGAGTCCCTTTTCATCTTATTACATCTTATTATACACAGGAAGGGAAAATAGGCTCCTCTAACTGGAAAACCACAGCTTTTTTTAAATTTTCATTCTCTTCTACCTTTGCTTGGTGAATAGAAGTGTGAAATAACCCCACCTTTCTTTCTGCTAGGTTTCCATTTTAACATTATGATGTACAATGTTCTGTGCTTATTGTAATTTTAAAAAACATTCTTTCTGAAATTGAGAGAATTCTCAATGCCAGATGATCTCTGCAGACCACTTCCCAGCAGTCCTATTGACTCTCTGCCTCTGGTAACTTAGATGCTGGTGACATGGTTATGAAACCAACCCAATGCCAGCCTCCTCTGAGGCCAGGGTTAACATCTCTCTTTCCTCCTGCCACACTGGGAAGACTCAATGTGGTTTTACCAACATTTCTTTCTGTGAAGCCCAGAGGTAGCAGCAAAGTATAAGGAAACAAGTTCAAAAGCATCTGGTCTCAATTTGCACCTGGGACTCTGCATTGCAAAAAAGAAAAGAAGGGGAAGGTGGTGTGCTCTTTGAACAGGGAGGTGATGCAGTCACTACCCAGTCCTAGGCCAGGCACACAGAGTATTTCACATGAGAACCATATCAAACATTGCTTAGTGGGGATGTGGAGAAAATATCAAATAAATAATTTTATCAGGATGTTTTCTTCTTGTTCTCAGAAGAGCTATGAACAGAAAGACAAAACCACGCAGTGCTACTGGAAAGATTTCTGTACAGGTCTTAGCTGTGGTGCGATGTTGAAAC